ACTTCAATTCCAAATGAGCACGCACCATCAAATCCAGACATTCCAATCCACAGCACAGGTTCCAGTGGTTAGAGGAAACTCAATGCAGTTTGGCCCTCAGTTGCTGTTTTTCAGTAGCTAGATATTCTCTTATATTGCTTAAATCTCTTTCTTAGACAATGTAACCTAATTAGAATTTTCCTGGTCCTATTAAAACAAAAACAAACAAACAAACAAAACCCCCACATTTATGCAGTGTTTTAAGTGTGGGGTTAGGGATGTAGACAACAGGCCTGCAATTAGATTTCTGTCCTCCCTTCTTCCTGGACATACAAGTAATGCATGCTTAATCATGACTGGCCAAACCAATGGCTAGATTATGCACTAATATTTGCTAGGAACTTAATCGTCAGCTAGCGTGTGTGTGTGTGCATGTGTGTGTGACTGTGACACGTGTGCATGTGTGTGGTTCTGGGTGCTGTGGCTTGAACATTGGAACTTCGTACTAAGCTCTATTTTTAGTCTTTTTTAAAAAACAAAGTTGAGATAGGTCCTTATTAAGTCACAAAATAGTTCAGATTGGGCTTGAATTTGTGATATTCCTGCCTCAGTTCCCCAGAGTGCTGGTATTATAGGTGAGCACCACCATGCCTAGTTAAGGTAGCACATTTTAATGATGAACACCGTTTTCAGAAGGTAAATCAAAAAGGAAAGGACATATAATGGGGATATTATGTGCGTAACTAATGTCATTTCCTTTTTGATAGTGTTACTATACTGGTAAATCTGAGAATGACACAGAGCAAACGTGGTTTCAACTTGGCTTTGACAAAGTCACTCATAATTTTTTATATGAAATGGAGAATTGCGAGCAAAATGATAGTGTTCTTTTCTGGTTAAACAACTGTGTTCAAGGAGGGCTGATAAAGAATTGTTCTCAGTGTGGACAGTGTCTTATAGAAGTCATGCTGCGTAGCTTTCTGTCTCTTCTAGTCCTGGTTGCTATTTTTCTGTGAGAAGGAGAATCTGGTGTTAGTAGTACTTAAAGTGTTAAAGGTGTTTGCAGTGTGTATCCAGGGAGGTGAACCACTGATAAAGAATCGGTGGTTCACATACCCACAGTTTTCAGCATTGATACCAATAAATGTCTTATAGTGATCCAATGTTTGATACAGCATCAGAGATGCTTAAAGCAAGGCTAGAAATAGAATACTTAAAAAGTTCACTTCGTCTTGGACAAGAGTTTGAAAAAGTACACAAAAAGATGTTCCAAAGGGTTTAGTACAGACTTCAAGTGGACATTATAGACATTTCACAAATACCAAATTCTCTTAAACCTTATTGATAAGAGCAACATCATGTGTGAATGCAAAGTTAATAAACAGGCATTTCTATATGAGAAACAAAACAAATAGAAATTATATGGAAATGATTGTGTCTCCTTTTAGATCATTATGACCATACGTCTTAAAAAGTATCTCCAATTAACAAAAAGTTGAGATCAGCAGAACACAATATTTAATTTGATATCCACAGAGAAAGTTCAAATTTTAACCCCAGTCACTTTGGTAAACAGAAGGAACAAGGCACTTTATCATTGGAGACCGCATGAAAAATGTCCATGGGTTGCACAACAACATGTGCAAGGCTAATTACGTTGAGTATAAAGACTTCGGGTGGTGGGGGATGGTAAGAAGCTTGTCTCCTCCCTGTTTCTGGAAGGGTACCAAGCTCATAACGTAGTACAGTTAGTAATTCTCTGACCTTTAAAAGGCGCTTTATGAGCAAATTAGGTCAATTAGTACAGAATAACTTACATTTTGAGTGTCTCAACCACTTTATAACTAGAGGGAAATATAGCTTCCTTGCATCAAATATATGTTAAGGGGCAATAGTCACAAAGGATTTACTCAAGTGAAGCTCATACCACAAAGTACAAAAAAAGCAAGAGTAAAGTACAAACCACTTTGAAATGGATAACATGAGACTTTACCGTGAACCTGTCCTGTTCAGTGTTACCTGTTTATGGTCGTTAAGCTGAACTTGTACAGAACCTTCCACTCTTTGAGGGGAATGGAGTACAGGCAGTGTGGACTGAAAGTTCTTGGAAGAGTACTGAATCAAGTACCCTTTTGTGAGTGGTTAAATGGCACATTATTTCCTTTTTTACTTTTTAGTCAGATATGAATTTCCTTAAGTTTTTTTTCTTTAATGAGTGAGGTACTGTGCTAGATGATTTATATGGCTTATTAATTCAGCTTTAACACCAAGTTACCAATATATATCTTGCCTGTATTTTACAGAAAGGAAACAAGCTTACAAACATTTTAGAAGAGACTTCGAAGTCACAAAACTTGTAAGTTATAGAACAAAGATACACACAGATTTTGTTATTCAATCACTTTTTTCATGAGTATATGCTGCCCTCTACTCTACCACTCTGTCTTCCTTTATTTCACTTCTGTCTTTCCACTTATTTCCACCGCATAGCCTAACAGTGGTGAACAGTGGTAGCAATGGGAAGATTTTAAAGACAAAAGGACTAATCTAGCACACATTAAATTTTACATTAAATTTTAACACTTGATGATTTTTTCCCCTAGCACACATGGTCTGGTTCTGGAATCCAAGAAAATGTTGGCTCCTGCAGGATCATGCTTTATCTTTTTCTTTCTAATCTCCCGATATTCTCAATGACCACATTTTCCAAATCCCAAATAAAGGCATCTATCTTAAGACATTGTGCTTATTTAAGAGAACATGAGGACAGCATATTTGTAGTAAAAACATAAAAAGTACTCCTGGTGTCTAGGAGAGTGAGATTTAGAATAGACCTAGCTCAACATGAACTTGGTGATTAATTAACTGGAGACTGATCACACAAGAAGAGTAATTAGCAAAGCTAGAGTAAGTCCTTATCAGAGGAACTAACTCAACAAGGTGGTTTTTCTGACAGATCTTTTTGCCAGTATTTTAGTGTTCGCTTCCCAAACCTCATGGTTTGATAATCTGCAATTACTTGTTTAGATATATGGTTGTGGATTCTAACAGACCAGCTGTTAATTATGAGTTTTAATCTCAGGGTGGAAGATTCCTATGAGATTAAAACTTGTTTAATTTTTTCTAACAATTAGCCACCTAACTAAAGAGCAATTGATTATAATTGGGGACTGAAGAAGGTAATAAATGCGTTACTGAGACAAGTCGCTTTACAGAGCCATTTATCTAATGCTTAAATTCTGCAGGTTGTAAATTATACATTAGAAGCTGAAAGCAAAATAGCTATAATCCATTTAAGTGCATCCAATCTCAGATGATTTACAGGAGGAAATCCATGGAAACAACAGGCCTGATGTGTTCTTTCATTGCTATTTCTTAATGAGCAAAGGTAGTTAAACAGTAAGGAAAAGCCCATGTAATTATCCTGATGTGCTGGTCCATGGGTCAGGGGTGGATTTGATTAAATTCATGGAGGGCTGAGCCATAAATGGTGGGAAAATGCCCTTTCTTTTCTAGTCAGTCCTGTAGACAGCTAATCAATGTGTGCAACTCACTTTCAGATAGTTTCATGAGACCATATTAATAGCCCATAATATTCATATCTGTTGTTTTCTAATCAGCGCAGGGCAAGAGGCCAAGTATAACAGGAATTAGAAGGGGAACAGAATGAGGCTGACCCTTCTTCCTCCTTAGGGAATGCAGCTCCAAATAAAAAACGTTCAACTGCAAAAACAACTAGACGATTAGTTTGTAGGTTTGTTTGCATGTATAAAAAGCTACACCTATATTTTGGCTTGAATATGGATTTGACAAGCTTTGTGAATGCACTTATCTGTTCACTAAGGGCAATATTTTTGTATAGCAAAGATAAAATTCAATTGCAGACTCCTGGTGGTAATGCTACAGATGATGTCCAGGAAGCCTTTGCCACTATACCTGAGTTTTGACAGCAAAATCTGAATCTGTGCGTATTTCATTTTTCAATGTGATACCCTTTATGTATACAAAACACACCTTCTGGCTCAGCATCAGGCTATATGGAACAAAACGGCTTTTGGCACACTTTTGCCCTGAGCAACCATTGCTTTAATATCCCTTTGCCTTTCTCGCTCATAAACAACAGAATATCTTTGACTAGAATGGTGGGGTTGGGTTATGAAATGGAGCTTGTTTTCTCTGCAGAGTTAACTGGATCACTTTGGGATCAAACCTGTGATATGGCAGCAGCAAACTGAATTATTCAAACCAAACTATTTCCATTCATTTTCTACTTGACAGTCTTCTACTTAAATTTATGATTTCACCAGGCTGATATTATGCCTATCTCTGTATTTCATTCAACCAAGCTGTTGTTGCTCAATAAATCATTACTGATATTGAAAGAAAACTTCAATTTAAGAAATTAGAGCTGTTTTGGAAACATGTTTATTTACATTTTTAAAATAATTACAAAGTGTTTCCTAGATAGATCATTTTCATGTCATGTGATAGAAATACCATATTTTTCTACATTTTTGCTTCCTTCCAGTTCTCTACTTTTAAACAGTACAACACTATACTAAATAATAATATTCTTCCTTAGAAATATTTTCATAAAAGCACTTTAGAAAATGGTTGAGATATTTTAAAAAATGTATAAAACTCATAAATGCTCAAATGGGAAGTTGAACAAGGGAGGTGGATGGTGAAGGGAAAAGAAAAACTGAGAAAAGAAAGAAAGAATGGAAATGAAGCTTTTGTAAATAAGGAGAAGAAGAGTTAAACGGAGAACAGGCGATTGAAAAAAAGAATCAAATTATATGATGTACAGGTACAAATTTCCTATGGTGAATGTGATCATTACATATACCTAAAATGTATAAAAATCAATAAAATAATTAAATTAATAAATAAAATAATAACTTGGTGCTGCTGTGTTACTAGTCCCAGTAAAGAGCCCATTCTGGTCACCTTGGTGGAGCAAGATAATTGGTCTTTCCCCTTTCTTGGAGATGAAATAATTGAATTTTCTTCTGACTTACCCTGAGTGGATTTTCATTAAGATAAGGGGGTTCACCTTCCACCATTTCGATTGCCATAATTCCCAGAGACCAGATATCAACTTTCGGACCATAAGCTTTTCGAGTCACCACCTCAGGTGCCATCCAGTAGGGGGTGCCCACCATAGTGCTTCGTTTACTTTGCTCTGGAGTGATCTGGGCACAGAACCCAAAATCAGCTATAGAGAAGAAAAACCAGTTAAAATAAGTCAAATTATTTTATTTGACAACCGGTTACTTGTCAATATAGCTGAACCTTCCTTTGTTAGAGACTAAACTTATAAAAATGCTTAACTCACATCCTTTTGTTATCTGATATCTCAGCTGGTCTTGACTTTAAAGGAGTCTGAACTAACTGATGGATGATGTTGCCATTTTTACTAGATTTCATTATAGTGCTCTCCCTATTATTATTTACTGAAACTTGGTACTTTCAGTTTTCAATTTAGGGATTTTTCAAACATTTATTCTAGAAGCTACTAAATATACTGAAATACTAAATCCAAAAAAATCTAGTCACAGTCTACAAGAACATAATATTAAACAAATTCTTTAATTCAATTGGGCTCTAACCACTTTCAAATAAGTCACTTTCTATAGCCACTGTCTTCTTGAGATACAATAGTTAAAGAGCAAAAATTCCCTGATATTTTATCAAATACCATCTGGATCAAAATACATACTCAGTTTAACAGAGCCATCCATCCCGAGAAGAATATTGTCACTCTTTATGTCTCTATGGATCACTTGGTTTGAGTGCAAGAAATCCAGAGCTTGGAGGCACTATTGAATCAGAAAAACAATTCTAATTATATCAGAATGTAAAAAAAAACTAAGTTTTATTTCTAGACAAATTTTGGGCACGGGTACAATTTGATGTCAACGAAATAGATCACTTAAAGTGCTTAACATCACTTTAAAATCAAATTTCCATTTACAGCAGTGATGCTACTTTGTATTATGCATTTGATGGTTATTGCGACAAACTGGGGCATGGAGAATGAGGATGTGATAAGAGTACTAATCATTACTCTAGCCAAACTAATCAATTAATTATATGTTAGCATAGTTATTTGGTGGATATGCATCATGTTTGGTCTTATAAAGATGCACTGATCCTCTCTGTATAGAGAATGATTTGACTTAGTAGGTTTGGAGTGAACTCAGGAATTCAAACTTAAAATAAGTACCTTAAACTATTTCTGACAGGAAGCCTTAAGATCAACTACTAGACTATGAAGTAACTATACGTACTTGTTTGGAAATGCTTTGGATTGTAATAGTACAAGATGGCAACCACAGGCTCAGGGTACAATTTCCCCCTGAATGATCATAAGTTTGATTTAGTAGAAGTCAAAAGATCCATAGAAAAGCAACTAAAATAAATAGGACCTAATAAAGATAGCACAAGTAAATGCTATTAGGTTAAGACTTAAATTTTTATTTCAGTACAGAATCATGCTATTGTTACTTTAATCTTATAAACATTCTGAATAAGCAGACATTAAAAAAACTGCCAATATTGGTGCCCTTGTCAGCTACAAATGCTACATCTTCTTACCTCTCTGCAGACAGCTGCTATCTGTCCTTCATCCATACAGGTCTCTGTGACCACATCCGTCAAAGAGCCACCAGCCAAGTATTCCATGACTACCCACAATTCATCACCCACTAAGTAGCTATAAGAAGAGAAGAAAAAGATTTCGACTTGTCACTAAGGAAGCAGAGAGTCTTAACTTTCCCAGGTTTCAGTTCTGATACAAGTCAATAGTGACTGAGCCCATGCTCATTATTTTGAGAAGTTATGCCTCAAGTGGCCAAAGATGGGGGACAAAAGTCACCAGAGCCCTACAATATAGGCAAAGAGCATGAAGTTATTCAAATCACCTGGGGCCAATCTGAAGACACTTTAGCAGAATGGTCAGGTCTGTTTGGCCTCTCACTCAGCAAGAGAGAGGCATTACAGGACACTAAATGACTCAATGACTCCATCTTATTCTAAGACTCACATCGCTATATAGCAAGACTTTCTACACAGTGGTATTCAGATATCAGTGCCCACAAAATTCATCTGGAAGGTCGTTAAATATGAAAATTCATGGGCTCCATTTCATGAGTTATGAGTAATAGCCTAGAAATTGGCATTTTTCACAAGTGCAAATGCAATTTTTTACAAAATTATATGTGTAGAGTAACTACCACAATACTATGGGGGGCCTCTATGGGCCACTTTATGAAACCCTGATGAAGACTCTAAAATCTGACCCTTCTTTTTCCTTTGTCTACCTATCCCAAAACATAGACAACGGCTTAAGATCATGGAGGTGGAAGGCCTAGTCTTGTTTTTGTATCCAAGAGAACACAGCATAGTGGTGTTAAACAAACATTAAAACTGAATGAGACAGATGTTAGCTACAAGTAAAATGTTAGCACTGCTTTTAAATGGCTTATAACACACTGTTAATACAAATGATGAAAGAGAGATTAATTATCTGGTTTTGGAAAAGGTTTAAGATTAAAGTCTTAGTTCTCCAGTCCTCACGTCAGTTAATCATAAAGCCCCATTAATGCGGGGCCAATGTAGTCAGCCTTCATCACTTAGCCTCCCAGAGATCGGATGGGCTTCAAACAAATACTTGCTGAAATGTTTATAAAACCACCACTTTCTCCTGTACACAAGAGTCTATCTCTTGCCAACATGGAACCATACTCTTCATAAAGAAATTTTACCAATTATTTATATTTAGAAGCAAATCCCTAGAACATTCCTTCAAGTGTTTTGATGGGTGGGCAAAGATAAGTGGGGGCAAGTTAGCAAAATGTCTCACATTCTACTACTTGATAGCATTTAAGATATGTTTGTAGAACTGTTGCTAAATGAATAATTCTGCAATAGAATAGTTTGCAAGAAAATGTTATCTTAAAAGAAAACAGGTACATAATGAGAGAAAACACTTACCTATCTAAATAATTAACAATATTGGGGTTCTTATTTTCCCTCATGACCAGAATTTCATTAATTATTAATTCCTTTTTGGGTTGCTGTTGAAGGTTCATCTGCTTTATGGCCACCTGAATCCAACAATTAAAATATAAGAGTGAATTACATTTGTTACAGCAAACACAAGTATCAATATTCTGGGGACACAGGGTAAAAAATATAAATTTTTACTCAGCTCTTTCTCGGTATCACAAATTCATGCCCTTTCTCTTGGTCAATCATGAACAGACTACCCACTTCACATGTTTTACATATCAATGAAGCAAATTCCCAGTTCTCCCAAGTGCTATCTACTTTTTTCAGGCACAGATTTTATTAGAGAGGGAGCCTGATAAACATGAATAAATGGATAACAATCAGGATTGAATGTTAGCATTTACCTCTTGTCCTGTTGCAATATCTAGTGCTGTGTAAACAGTACCTGATGCCCTGTGAAAATGAAAATTATCAAATGAATATGCAAAGTATTACCAACATATTTCATTTGACATAATATATAATCATTTTTTTTGTCTTTTTCCTTTTCATCGGTACCGGGGATCGAACTCAAGACTGCCTGCTTGCAAGGCAGGTGCTTATGCCGCTGAGCTAAACCTCCAGCCCCCTATAATCATTTTTTTTTTTTATTTAAGAGGAAAAAGAGAAAAACACAAAACAAACCAAAGCGGTGTAAGGGTACACGTAATACAGAACTACAAAAAAACAAAACAAACAAACAAAAAAAAAACAACAAAACAAACAAACAAAAAAAAACATAACAGTAAGAAATCACCTGTTAGTATATTACATATTATCATCTTGAAAATAGTTCCTCAAATCACAGTATCAAAGAATACAAGGTGGACATTCAAACAGGGAGTCCGCAAACAGCTGTGTTCAATGATACAAAAACATTGATACAGTCAGCTATTTAACACCCCTAAACACACTTGCTGTTATATCCGTTAGAGCTCTTTTTCTTTTTTTTTTTCCCCTCTCTTTTTTACAACAAAATTCACGCACTTTGGATTTCATTACTCCTTAGTGCTTATTACTTTTTTTTGGGGGGGGGGGAGAATACAGTCAAATATGGCAAAACAAAGCTGTCAGTCAATACCAAGGATAGGCATAGCACATGATGTAGAACAGAGTACAAGTTTATCAACAATGGTTATCAATGTTGACAGAAGAAAATCAGCATGTTAAGATTAAAGGATGAAATAAAACAAGGGAAACGTTTAACACTATTGTGGTAAGAACACTTAACATGACATATTAAACATATTTTAAATATGTTAATATATTTTAAACATTAACATTTTTAAAATACACAGTGCTTGAACAACCTCTTTACATAGTAATCACACCTGAAACAATCACACTGTGTCCTTTGAGGTGGACTAGAAACTCCAGTCAGACTTTCTGGTACCAGTTCCTGGACCATGCTCTATGCAATAATGAATTGAGTAAACTGGCTTTGTTCCTCTTAGGAAACTATTGCGGTATTCCAAATATTTCTTGGATTCTGCAACAATCAACATCCTAAGCTTCAGATTAAACTGAAATATAACTCAGGGGAAAAATACATCATTTTTTGCTTGGGCAACTGTAAAGTAACTTTTGTATTGGGATAGAGAGGGTCTTTCAATATATTTTAATTTTTGAAACTATCTTCTAACAAATCGGTCACTCTCAGCGCTGCTCAGTACTGTAACTATACAAAGAAACAACAATGTGGCTTTACTATTGAGTAATTGTTTTTCTTTTGGCTGACTTTTTTTTAACAACTTTTGTAAGACAGCACTCTAGCCAAATATCCTCCTAAAAGCTATTATTCCTTCAGTTTTGGAGTACTTATGCTTTCTCTCCAACCTCAGTTACAGCACTCCTTTGCTTTGCACATAGAAATTATATAGTAAAGCTGAATTCGTATACTTTTGTGTGAATTGTACCTGCATTCCAAATCACATCCTACCTCTTCCTTAAATAAAAAGGAAAAAAAAAAAAACAAGTTAGTCAGTTTCACTTGTGGTAAATAAAGGAATTCAGATAGAATTTGCAATGTTCCATCACCGTGATCTAAACTTTTTGGTAATTGTTTCTTTTTTCTCTTTAATCTCTATTTTGCTTTCTGAGTCCAAGAATTCTTTTCTTACATCAGGTATTTCTTTGTAATTCTTTTTCCTGGATGAACCAAAAACATTCCTCATAGCCTGGGAAGTTTATACTACCCTCTCCCAGAAAATAAAATGGGTAGTACAGTTTATGGACAATTTGACTGTTACCAAAGATCTGAGTTCTGGTATGTGGTCTATTGTCAACAAGCTACGTGACTTAGGTTAGTCATTCCTGCACACTGAGTTTCAGTCATCTCACATGGAGATAGTGATAACAGTAAATAAGCATTGAGCAAGTTGTGTCAGAGATTGTGATAAGAACTTCATATAATTTAATTTTGTAAACATTACTACATTTATATATAAAGCAGGTCTCTTATTCTCATGTTATAGATGAGGAACATGAGGTTCAAAGAGGATAATAATCTGCCCAAGGTAATGAACAACCATATTGCCTTTGGTATTCTGCCTAGGTTTAAAATACTTACTGGAACTAGCATAAAACATTTACTGGGACGCAATTAATAGGTGCCATTCAAACCAGCATTCAGTAAGTCTAGAAATTTCTTAGGCTGGTGATTTATATCAAATAAACCACTGTTTCAAATTTGTATTTTTTGGGATGGGGATTTAGCTTAGTGGCATAAGCGCCTGCCTTGCAAGTGTGTGGTCATGAGTTCAATCCCTGGTACCAATAAAAAAAATTGTATTTTCAGATTATGGGTTTAAAGCATAGAGTTGATGCCCAATAAATATTTTTTGAATGAACACATCGATAAAAATATTTCCAAGCAAATGCATAATTTTAATAAGATCTTCCTTTTCTGTGAAGGAAACATTTCTTTTACTTAGATAACCAGGAAACATTGAGAATAAACTACCAGACATTCCTGGCTTCAGGACACAGTACCTGATTTATCTTTCTGACCTTGGAATTGTTCTGAGTTTAAAGGGAATAGATCATCTTAATCTGTACATACATTAGCAGCAATAAGCCCTGAGCAACTACTTAAACCTAATTGCAAAATAAGATTTTAAAGCACCTTTCTTGATTTATTCCTATATATTGAGGCCATGTACACAACTTTAGATGCAAGAGTGAAGTGACAGTATCTGCAAAATGAGATGATAGTAGTATCAATCTCATAGGACTGCAACAAATCAAATGGCATAATCTATGTGACCATTCAGTCCAGGACCCAGATCAGGCTGAGATTTAGTATGTCAATTGCTGTTTCTTCAGCTTTCAATGCTTCCTCTGTTCTTATTGCTTTCCTTAATAGTCTCACAGTAGGGGATGAACCCTTGCTTGGCTCCTCCCAATCTCTCAGCCTAATGACACTTGCTAGCTAGCATCTGTCATTTCCCAAAGGACAGAGGTTAAGGGTGATCTATTGGAACACTTTGTAGAGGTTCCACATTCTGTTTTTCTTATAGGGAAGCGGCTTTGACTTTTAAGCTTGGAACACTATTATCAAATAAAACCATATGTTGGAACTCTCAATACATAAAATAAATAAAATGCGCCAGTCAGTCAAAGTTCCATAGTGAGGCCCAAAATGCTAGCTCAGATGGATTTCCTCTTATTCATTACCCATGTCCCTCCAATTCCAAAATCCATTTCCCCTGTCCCAAGGGCTACAATAGTTATTGACTTGAAATGCAAGGGGGATTGCTGTTTATCATCTCTGAAACTCAACCTTTCAAATCTTGGATTTTTTTTTGGCCTTTCTTTGGTACTTTATTGTCTTAAAATTGCCAGATTTGCAATCCTGAAATTCCGGTATCTTGAGGTTTTGACAGTCTGTAATGTAGAATTGCCACAAATTCTTAATTCACAGAGGTTTAAAGTGCCTGAAACTCTAGGTCATTGGTTATAAAATAAAAGTGAAGTTTTTTCATCATTTCCACTTTTTGCGTCTAGGCAATTATATGGTGGAACACACGTTTTCCCTTTTCCTTTACCCTTGTTTCCTATCTTAAAATGGTGATGTACTTCCCATTCTACCTACCACAGGAGAATCTGGGCATGCTGTAAATTGGCTAGAAATCACTGCTCTGATAAGTTATCGGTTTGCTCAAGCTTCCAGTCTTTGCAAAATACTCAACTAAAGTGCACAATGCTCTTATCTTTAGCATTCTCTGTACCATAATTCTATTGTATTCTTACATTTCACAAATTTGAGACTCAGCTGATAAAAATGAGTCTCTCCTTGACAAGATTTCAATCTCCTTCAAAACTCATTCATTAGAACAATGTTAATAAAATCTCTAGTTCAAATGCTACAACTTCCTAGTTGTGTGATCCTAGGTAAAGAATTTAATGTCTCTATGACTCAGAATAAAAGGGGATTGAATCTATACAGTGCTTAAAATGTATATTCTCTTTTCCTAAAATAAGTGCCAGTAAATATTGACAGTGATGCTAATTATTATTTGGTTGGTTGTTTCCTAATATAATTAATTTCCCAATTGTGGCCTGTAGTTTTCAAGATACAACAATAGAAATTAAACATTTACCTAAGACAACTCAAAGCTAACTCAAACATCACATATTATTTTCTTTTAGCTTAACTCATGATTTTCTAAGTATCATATGCTGATCAAAAACTTTACACAGCAAGTTTATGTATTTTTGCTTAATATATTATAAGAAATAAACTATTTATATATATGGTATAACTTTCAAAATTATTTATAACCTAAAGTGCACAGATAAAAGTAACTGAAACAGTCTTTAGTGGTGATATCGACAAATCCTTATCTTGTAATAAATGAAATATTACTATATTTCAATATAGTAAAAATAATATTCAAGCTAACTCTATGTCACACTGATTTCCCATAAATGACATTTACAACTTCCTAGGATACACTGAACTGTCTCAATGCATGTATTTATCAAATAGTACTTTGATTTACTTTAACAAAAATCCAGGATCTTTTATCATTTTAGGACATAGAGGAACCTCAAGTCAAACTGACAAAGATGAGCAGTGAAAGTCTTAATTTTCTTTAATATTGGGAGTAGTGTGCTAAAATGGTCAACTTTGTCATTTTGATTTTTATTCTGAATACTTAATTACAATGATGTTCATTCTCTTTCCTTTCTGGTTATACTAAGATTACTTTAGGAAGATTACTTGTTTATGATGAAGATTTTATTTTCTTCAAATGTTAGTCCCTGAATGATGCAAAGAAATTACACATTATTTGGAGTGAAAGGAAAATAGATGATATCACCCTGTTTAATTTTCTTATTACAGATGAGAAAAATGAAGTCCCCAAAGCTGAAAGTATATGCCCACTAAGACACAGCTCATAAGTAACAAA